GAGGGAGGGAGGGAGGGAGGGAGGGAGGGAGGGAGGGGAAAGAGAGAAAAGCTATTGAGGAAACCAACAGAAAGCTTAAGCACAGGGACAGTCGAAGGCAGAGACATGCACACTGGTTTTGATCACAGAGACATGCACACTGGTTTTCATGGTAGAGCAACTCACTCTCCCAACCTTGTACGTGCTCCCCGCCTTGTAAAGACTACGGTGGACAGTCTGACAGACTTCTCCTGTCCGAATGGCAGCCAAGAGGCCAGATGTATGAAGCCGGCCAGTTCTGCCGAGGTTCGGAGGGAGTCCATACCAGTTCAGCCTCTCTAGGGGACAATTTGGCTAGGTCTCTGCAGAGGTCAAGGGCACTTTCTCTCTGATGCAGTAACTCCACTCCTAGGAATTTATCCTCATGAGGCCCTCAAATGTTTGATCAAAGACCTGTATACAAAAGTATTTGTTATGGAATGTTCCCACAGGATCAAACGCCAGAGAGCAGCCTGGATGCTCATCCAAGGAGCATGGGCTACATAATCCGAGCCTCTGGAAGTGAGCTGGGGTGTGGCTGAAGAATGGTGGGCGTGGCTTGACAGAGCGCTGTTTGAAAGAGCTGTGTCAGAAGCTTGCTGGAGAAACCGCTTGCCTAAGGTGTGCAAAGCCTTGGGCTCAATACCCAGCAACACACCACACTCGCACACACACACAACCACACTCACGCACGCATACAAACTTGTGATTTTGTTTGTTGACAGTGGGTGTGCTTGCTTATTAGCCCAAGCTGGCCTCAAATCTGTCATCCTCCTGTCCCTACCTCTCATGTACTAGAATTAGGGACATGTGTGGCTATGAAATGCCTTCAGCGTTCTTTAATTGGTATCTTTAGGGAAAAAACGGCAACAATAAAAACCACACCAGATTGACAAGATAAGACGGCAGGTAAGAGAGCTTTGTAGGCAAGCCCATCTAATTCTCAGGAAGCTGAGGCAGAAGGATCATGATTTTGAGGCCAGTCTAGGCTCCATAGCAAAACCTTATCTCAGAAAAACAAAACAAACAAAAGAAGCCAAAGGAACCGAGTTTGACTTTTTTTTTTTTACCATGAAGAGTGATAACCGGCAACAGCAACGGCAGTCTAAGCCGAGCTTACAGTGTGTGCCCACGCCACGAGAAGACCGTCGTTAACATTACAGGCTCTGTGCTTTCGTGAACCAATTAAAAGTAAATCGAATCAGTGAGATGGCTCGCTGAGTAAGGGTGGGCCTCCGAGTCTGACAACCTGAGTTTGCTTGCTGGTTCCACAGGGTAGAGGGAGAGAAGCAAGCCCTGTGAGCTGTCCTCTGACCTCCACAGATGCGCTGCGGCATGCCCGTGCACACACACACAGATAAATCAGTGTAAAAGAGAAGCTACTGATTGCAAGCAATAAATAATGGTTTTAAATTAATTTAGCCAGGTAAGGCCGGACAGATCGTCCGTCCCAGCAGTGGAGAAGATGAAGCAGCAGACAGTGCGTTCAAGGCCAGCTCAGTCCACAGAGAAAGGGTCTGTCTCAAAAGACTAAAATAAATACATTTTTTTAAAACCAGGGTGAGATAATTAGAGGTGGCAGCTCAACAGCATGCGTGTGTACACGCACACACATGTGCTCTCATACCCCTTTAATCTTAGCCTCTGGAGGCAGAGACAGGTGAGTTTGAGGCCAGCTTGATCTAAACAGTGAGTTCCAGGACAACCAGGACTATGTAGAGAGACCCTGTCTCAGAAAAGGGAGGGGGAGGAGGGAGAAGAGAAGAGGAGGAGGAAGGGGAAAAGGAGGAGGAGGAGAAAGGAAAGATGGATGGAAGGAAGAGGAGAGGAGAAGAGAGAAGCTCATTTTGCTCATATTGCTGTTACAGCCTGTTCTCCAACTCACTGACATGCCTTCCTTGACAAAACACTGTAAAGTCCCAGCTTCAAAAA